GGAGGTGGAAGACATTGTAACGTGGTGGGACTCGGTGGCAAAGGAAAGGATAAAGTCCTTTTATGTGAGGGAGGGTAGGCGTATAAACACTTTAAAATATGGGCTAGCGAATTATTTAGAGGATCGATTACGAAGTTGTTATGGGCAGGGATCGGTTAGTGTGTTTACCCCATGGACGAGATTGTAGACATAAAAGAAGCTTGCGAACGTTGCATAATGAGCGGTTTCAAGCGGTGAGGGTGCAAGCGGATTAGAAGAAGTTTTGTGGGGAGATAGGCCATCCGCGTGTGTGTTGAGACAACAAAAGCAAAAGCAGGCGCTCACGGCAATCCCGAGCTTGGAGGTAAACGAGACGATGGGAATCCATAGAGCAGGTCAAGTGATACGAAACACAAAAGCTATGAGTGCATATGCGGATACATGGTATAAAAAACACTGGACTAGTAGTGGCGTGGATGAAGTGGAATTAAGTAAGGTGTGCACGTATGCTGAGTGCATTTTGGGTCACAGTGATAGGAAGGCATTGGGTGGGGTTATTACTGAGGAGGAAATTGAAATTGCTTTACACGGAATGAGGAAGGGTAAGTCCCCGGGTATTGATGGTTTACCGGTGGAATTTTATTTGCAGCATTGGGAGTTGATTGGGAAGTTCATGGTAAGATTATTAAATTGTATGAAGGAGAAGGGTACGTTAGGGGATAAGCAGAATACGGCAGTTGTGGTGTTGGTCCCGAAAGGCAAAGGGCAGCCAAACCTTGGGAAGTATAGGGCGATATCGTTGCTCTGTGCAGACTATAAGGTTTTCTCAAAAATTTTGGGTAATAGGGTAAAATGCGTGGTGGGGAGGGTCGTTTCGCCATCGCAGTATGGGTTGCCGGGCAGGTCGATGTTAGAAGGTCACGGGCTTATAAGAAGTTTTGTGGAGTCAAAGGGGGAGGGGAGGGGGCGGCTTTACTGGCCTTGGACTGGCGAGCCGCCTATGATAGAGTGGAAAGAGGTGCACTGCAGAGTATTCTTCGGAGACAGGGTTATGGAGAAGAAATAGTTGGGTGGGTAAACACTCTGTATAAGGGGGCAAGGATGAGGGTACAAATAAATGGGTGTATGGGGACGGACTTTGAGATGGGTAGAGGTTTTAAGACAAGGGTGCCCTATGTCACAGATCTTATTTGCATGTTTTCAGGATCCCTTTTACAGGATGGTTGAGAGCACAGTTAGTTCCCGGGGTGGGGGTGGGGTAGGGGAAGGGGTTTGTTGGCCGGCATTAATAGGTTATGTGGATGATACGACTGTTTTGGTGTGTGAACGAATGTCTATGAAAGGGTTGGAAGATGTTGTGCGTGTGTTTGAACGTGCCACGGGTATGAAGGTAAATAGTGAAAAGTCGATGATCATGGGGTTGGGTACTTGGAAACAGGGTGGAATGGTGAGCTGTAACGTGGTTAACACAACTGCGATGTCATTAAAGATTTGCGGTATTATTTATAGAGACGATTTGGATGTGGCGCGGGAGGAAAATTCAGTAAGGACGTTGGAAAAGGTCATTGGTCGTCTGGGTGTTATGAGGCCCCAACATCTCACTCTGGCCCAACGTGTGATTGTTGTTAACGTTTTATTGTATAGTAAGGTGTGGCACGTTGCGGCTGTATTCCCAATTACAGGAACAGCGATCAATGGAATATTGAGAAGAGTATTACCTTTCTGTGGGGATCGAGGTGTGATTGGTTAAAACGTGAGGTTGTTATGTTACCTGTACGTCGAGGAGGTTTAGGATTGTTGGACTTAAAGCGTAGGGTGAAATGTGTTTTTCTAAAGTGGGAGGTTTGGCGTGTGGGTGTGATGGCGGGAAATATAGACCAAGTATATACGAGGGTGAAAAGTGGTATAGGGGAATGGAGTTAAGGGAATGTGAGATTGTACTACGAGCTTTGTTGATGGTAAAGGAACGGAGGAACATTCGCATAAGGGTTTTAAGTAGGTTACTAGGGGGCACGTGCGCAGCTCCAGTAGAAGGTTTGTTCCCCATGTACTCGTGGGAAAATATGGCTCCGATTTAGCAAGTTGAAATTACGGCCTAGGGTGCGTGAAGTCATGTTTCGTTTTTTACATGGTATATTGCCGTCAGGGGCAATACTACGATCCCAGAAGAGTCGTGGTGGGAGGCGGGTGTGGGTTTTGTGGTGGGGAAGACACGGCTTTTCACGTTGTCTATTTTTGCGAAGGTTTAGAAGATGTCAGGAGTTGGTTGGGTAGGGTGGTACAGAGGGTGGAGGCAGAGGAGTGCAGGTCCTGCGTGCGTTAAGTCTCGACATCGGTGGATTAGACCAGGACGTTGAACGGGCTTAGATTATATTATCGTGGATTACATTTATATTTCGTGGGTAATGCGGGGAAAAGGGGTCAGTGGGTAAGAAGGCGTGTCCTTGCAATAACGTTTTATCGTACAATGTGTAGGAATAGGGAATTGTATGGGAGGAGGTGGGATAAGGGTTTTTCGGACGGTTATAAAAGGCTCACTCTTGAAACCCTTGTGAATCTGTGATAAATATACGGGCATGCCGAATAAGTTGTCGTGTAGGTCAGTGGGCAATAGCTGGCTCGTCTCTTGGGGGGAAGGATGTGAGTTGCGTGAATATGAGTTTGGGCAATGAATGTTTTTTAGTTGTTATGGATGTGTGGTTGTAGATTCAGGGATTAGGGTTACTTATTGTACCTTTTGTGTACAAAATGACTGGGGTGCCTTTATATATTTGTTATATTTTTGATGCTTCCTTTGCGTAAAGACTCGTTGTATTCTTGAGTCACTAGTTTTCTTAGTTTTTTTTTTGACTGTGTTTTGGAGGTTCAGATATTTGGGCATATGAACGTGCATATATATGTGTATATGTATATGTGTGTATGTGTATGTGTGTGTATGTATGTGTGTATGTATGTGTATATGTATATATATTATATATATATATATATATATATATATTTATATATGTATATATTATAATAATTATATATATATGTTATATATAATATATATGCATATGTATGTATATGTATGTGTATATATGCATGTTTTATCCCTTCCCTGTTACTGTTCAATTAGTCTGTGAGTCACCAAAGTATTAAAGGGATATAATACGTGTACATTACCCTGAGTTATCCAATTGTATCCTATAAATATGTAGCAACATTATGATTTTTGTTTGTGATTCAAACGTAGTTCTTAGGTATCAAGATTGAACACTTATGGAATGGATGGAAATTGCTGATGATTAATATGATCGTCAATTTATATAATATTTATTATGTTAATGAATTTGTGTTAGAGTAAATCATTGAATTTGTCTAAGTTGGAATTTCTATAAACAATTTTATATTTTGTATGCAAATTACATAAACTATTGTTTAAACATCAATGTAACATGTTTGTATGATGTGCATGTGGGTTATAATGGGTTAAGTGGTGTTTCCACCAGTGTTATATTTGTTACGCAGTTATATCTTTTGGTATTGTGTGTGTTTAGTGAAACGTACGTATGCATTTTATGGTGTGTTTGTCGTATATATCTATACGTATTAGTTAAAGATTGGTATTTATGGTGTGTACCTCGTTGTACTCTATGGATTATGTATGGTGATGCTATTTAATTTTTAAGCAGCCTTGTATTTATGATGTTTTAAATAAAATAAAAAAAAAAAAAAAAAAGTTATGACCCGCTTAAAATGTAAGTTGTTTATTTGGGGTAAACATTATAATGTAAATCATTATAATGTAAATAAAAATACAAATTTAATAGAGATCTTTTTTAATATCCATCTTACAAATAAAACAAACAAAAAAAATGTCTTCAGGATATTAAGTGAAGCAGTCTGGCCTATTACTGCTAGTGGTCTCAGGTCCTCTTCGGGAGGATGCCACCCACAACAGTCGACTAACTCCTAGGTACCTAATTACCTGTAGGCGAACATTGGCAGCAGGTGTTACCTGAGTTACTTGTAAGTAAAAGCACAGCGGCATCCTGCAGAGTTACAAGCCCAATAGTTTTTCCTGTGTTTGCTTAACGCTCCTGACGTTGACACAGCGACGCTCCAGACTGATGGTGTGTTCTCTGTTCATGATATCCTTAGCGAAGTCCTCGTGGAGGCGATGGAGGTCCTCAAGTGTGTCCTCACTGGTCCTCAGACGCTCCGCAGCGTCTCAATGTTCTGGGCAACTCCTCTAGTTCATCCTTCAGTCTGGAAAAATATCAACACTTGCTCTGCTAAATTATGACTTATTACTTATATAAAATTGCTATTGCTGTCCCCTGTGTAACACCTATGCACAAGCTGTTAACACATTGGCCGTTTTGCACTAAAGTTGGGTGACCTAACGAAGAAAACATCTCTTGCTGCTCCCTTGTAGACATTATGACTCGGTGTTGATCCTTCGCACTGGAACATCTTCATTTGACTCACGAAACCGTAATAACACGATTGTAAACACATCACAGAACGGAGTCTTAAAACTCACAGTTCACTGTGTTAACATGACTCACGAAATCGTAATGACACGATTGCAAACAAACCATACCCCGGCCGGGATTGAACCCGCGGTCATAGAGTCTCAAAACTCCAGCCCCTCGCGTTAGCCACTAGACCAGCTAGCCACAATAAGATTCGTCCAACTAGGTATATTTCTACACCATAGGAAGGTTAGCATAGGCACCACTGTGACCACAAATGCAAGTTTTTACAGACGAATCTCCAGCTAGCGTGGCCGTGACGAACTCTAGCATAGACCAATAAAAATAATAACAATAATAATAATCTTCCACTCATGAGGTTATATTTTTTTACGACCACACCATCTAATTTATGCATTCCTCATTCTCTGCATTATATTTACACACATTGATCTTGGAGAGCAGGTTTCCTACTCACAGCCTCATACTTGCTGCAACTTTCGTATACACTCCTGGCTAAAAAATGTGAGGTCTGAAGGAGCGGGTTCAGCAGTCACCAACCTGTAGTGAGGATGGTCCAGACAGCGGTCAGCGCCAAGCCTGAAGGAACGGGTCCAGTGTCTACTCTGTGCCACCTGTAGTGGAGATTCCTTGTCTTGCAGAGCCTGACGCAGCGACGCCAGGCTCATCTCTTCCTCTCCTATCTCCTTCCGTAACTGTTGGGATAAGTAAAAAAAAAAAACTTGGAAATATAAGATTTGATTCATATTACAAAATATATGTCAGTGTTTACCATATTAATAATAATAAAAAAACATAAGTATCAAACAACAAGCGCTAAAGTGTGTGAATGCCTTGATATTATGTAAAATAAATCCAAATTATAGCAAAGCAGCAAATTGAGACCATTATACAAGCTTCTACAAGAGTTCTTCCAGTGGCCACTTGGGGGGAAGAAAACACTCGGTCCATCCATCAACAAAATACATAAAACATAAAACACTTTATCATGGCATGGATGAAAAGACACATGTGTTCTTTCGGTATCAAAGTACCGCCGAACTTACCATAGCATCCTTGTCGAGTAATTTGATCTTGGCATCCTGCAGCTCCATGATGCGAGTGTTGAGAGCTACGTCTGAGGCCTCAGCCGATGCTTCCACGTCTCTTGCAACATCTTGCAATGCCTGCACAATACGCACTCAAATTCAAATGTCTAGTTGCAAAAAAGTACACAGGTAAATTGCTATATAGTAATAAAGTAAAGAATAAGTATTTTTTTTACAAAGCCAAAGTTACCCACAGTATTCTGGGCAATTTTAACAGTTTTAATTATATTTCAAGAAGTTCCCTTCAGTTTTGCTTTATGATGAGACTCCAAGCACACAGTTTTATTAAATGAGCGCTTATATGAAGTAAATACTATTAAAAATAAATGCTTATGCAAAATGAGCACCTAACAAAAATGAACACTTAATTAAACTGAACATTTATCCAATATGAACACTGGTATTTTATAACACAGTATATACATTGTGAAATCTACACCAGGTGCCTCCAACAAGCATCTCAGGTGGGAGACCTAGAGTTTGGAACAGATGTAACTAAACTAAGATCCACAGCAGGTATAGATAGTACTAGGTATTTATTACAAATTAGCTGAGAACAAAGTTCTGGGCATCAAGTTTCATTTTTTTGATTAATTTTCGCCGGGAATGTATTACCTGTATTGAAGAAGAGGGATACCTGATAATATATACATGGGAGACACCTGAAACCCTAGCCAAAAAACTACACACTTACCATAATAACGTAATGCAGTGAGAGATATACACGGAAGTGTAAAATAGACCCAGTGAAGAGAAGGGGTGCCATGGGCATAATACGAAAACACTGTCGATATCCTCTACTATTCAACCTACTGTAGATATAAGACTATTGCTGGAATAAGTGTAAAAGTTTTCAAACGGAAATTGGATCACCACCTCTACAGAGTGCCAGATCAACCAGACTGTGATGGATATGTGGGCCAACGAATCGCCAGTAGCAGCATCCTGGTTTACCAGGCAATCAACAGGGAGGCGTGACCCAGGTTGGGCAGCGAGACCAGGAAAACTCTCGAAACAGGTCACAGATAAATAGCAGGATGTATAAATACCACTGATCATTATTAGAATGTGAGGAAAAAATTATTCATATGAAGATAATGACTTGTTAGAGTTAAAATGGACAAGCCAGTCTTGGCTGGCTGGTTAATGGGGCTCCAAGCCTGTCGCCTACACGAGAGTCATTAAGAGGCATGTAAGGTCCCTCGTCTTCTAATAACAGATTCATTTTTTCCACTATAATCTACCTTGTCCATAATTACTATCGCATTTGTGATAGTAATTATTAGAAGACGGGGGAACTTACGTGCCCCTTAAGGCTGCATGTAACTTTTTCATCACCAGACAAGAGTACTTTAATCCCTATGTGTGTGATAAATGATGATAAACGGGGAGACTATAATCAACTTTAATCTCTATAATAAGGATTACAATAAACTCTCAGCATATATAAGCTAAAGAAAAACATACTTCTCGGTATACTATATCCTCTGCCAGTCTTGTCCCACCTCAGCATATATCCTCTGCCAGTCTTGTCCCACAGTATATATCCTCTGCCAGTCTTGTCCCACCTCAGTATATATCCTCTGCCAGTCTTGTCCCACCTCAGTATATATCCTCTGCCAGTCTTGTCCCACCTCAGTATATATCCTCTGCCAGTCTTGTCCCACCTCAGTATATATCCTCTGCCAGTCTTGTCCCACATCAGTATATATCCTCTGCCAGTCTTGTCCCACCTCAGTATATATCCTCTGCCAGTCTTGTCCCACTTCAGCTCCTAACTGAATACCAGACTGAGCACAAAATTATTTCCTAAGTGTTTATTAGCTGTTATATAGCGACAAAAAAAATTATGGTGAGTAGGGGGAGGGTTATTCCAGGACTGTGTCGGTGTTTTGGGTATGTGTTCTTCATGTGTCATTTACTGTACAAACAAAGTAATTTTCAGATTAAAATAGTTATTTTTTCTCATTTTCTGGAGCTTTGGATTATGACTCATTCAGTAATTATAATGATAATAATTGTCAAGAAATGCATTTTGTTTGTATTACTCACCTGATTGGCAGCACCTCTGTTTTGTCACCTGATTGGCAATACCTCTGTGTTACTCATCTCACTGGCAGCACTTCTTTGCTACCTGATTAGCAACACAACTGCGTTACCTGACTGGTATCACTCTATATTACTCACCTGATTTGCATCACTCTGTATTACTCACCTGATTGGCAGCACCTCTGAGCTGAGAGCCTGAGTTGATCTCTCTCTTACACACGTCCAGGTGATGATTGGTGCGTTCACTCCAGGTGTCTGGGGTCGACACACCTTCATTAAGTGCAGCTGACACTGGCTGGAGAGACAGGTTCAACATGTTACCTTCCTCAGGTTTTATACCTATCTACTGTGAGCGTTATTAGGGTTCCAGTACCTAGTTACCACAGAGTAAACTGGTTTAAATAAAAGATCTATGTACTTCAAGGGAGGGTGTTTTGCGTTCTTAAAATTAATTTTAAAACCTTAGATTTTTAGTGAAGGTATTTTTCTAGTACACTTCCATCACGACTGAAGTAAAAGGAAGGTCTTTATTTTGATCTAATACTAATTATATTAATAACTAAGTTTGATTAAAGTGTAATTTATAATAATAAAATTTAATTAATTTCCTTGCTTTGATTCCTTTATTTCCTCATTATGTGTACATTATTAGTCTGTATCTTTGCTTTCATAATCAAAAGTTGCTTCATTCAGTTTTATACAGTTTAATCTCAGACCTCAACACAGTCGGTTAATACGTAGGTATTTAGTGTTACTGGGTAGAGGTAGCAGGGCAGCAGGGGCAACAGGGGTGAAAGGAAATTTGCACGTAAGTTTCTATGTATCAGAGGACCTGCGATAAAAGAGAGCTGGCGGTGAGGAAGTACCTTAAACTGTGCCAAGATGGTCTGGTTGACGAGTTTGGCCGCTGAGTGGTCCAGTTGGAAGGCCTCCTGTTTGTCTGACCAGTCGTGTTCCAACAAGCGCTTCACCTCCAGCAGGAGAGATATCTGAGCCTCAGTCTCCTGGAGCGTCTGTGTCAGTAGAGACCTGCCAGTACGCAACACTTCCTTCTCCTGCTCAACAAGCACAGCGTATCGTTACCTTTTCATATACTTGAATATACGGGATAAGAGAAGTTATCCCAGCTCAACTCTTTTTGACGCCCAACCTTATCGTAGGTATACTATCACCCATCCAGAGTGCGTCTCATGACAGTCGATTAACATTTAGGAACTATTTTTTTGCTAAGTGTAAAGGGGTAGCATGAAAGAAACTCAGCCATAATTTACTCTGCCTGAGAATCGAACTCGAGTCCCTTCATTTATGAGCCAAGTGATTTTTCTTTTAGTTACAGGTCACCTAGTTTTAAACCCTGCTGAACAAATGTAAGGCACTAAAAATCCCAATTCACCTATACGCTATTTTTCAAGAATGCTCGAATTCCTAAAACAAACGTCAAGTTAACTCTCAGTGTACATCTGTAGTAGTGAAAACTGTAAAGTTCCTTATGTTTAAGTATAGTAAGTGTAAACTCTCTCAAGAAGAGTAGTGTAGCAAGACCTCTGGGATGGCATCAAAAATTCAACCGTTATTAGGGTACTGGACCGTACCTGTTCCTCAGTACCTGAAACTGATACAGCTGATATAGAAGTAAGCAAGGAATGACATGTACCCCTATGTTATCCTGTTACTGTATTAATAAATCTCTAATGATTTAAGTCCCTTTGCTTCATATGCTCTCCTTGAGCATATACCCTGAGAAATAACCAATTTTCAAAGTACTGAGAGATGCACAAGTGTACTGACCTTGTCTAAAGCGAAGGTGACCGGGTCACGAGTTGCGTCCACACCCACACGGAACCTGCGGATGTGTGTACACTCTTCATTGTTCCTCTCCGGCAGCTCCAACGCGAGCAGTGCCACCTGTAATGAGACTCACGTTGATACATGTTACAGTGCCACCTGGAATAAGACTCACGTTGACCCATGCTACAGTGCCACTTGTAGTGACACATGTTATCCTGACCCCTGGGGCAGTGCTGCTTATAGTGATACTTACATTGATTCCGAGGTTAGTTTGATAGCCTTACTATGTACACTATACCCATCCTAGTGAAATTACAGAGGCATATATTGGACCTAGGGGCTGGGCCGCGATATTTTGATAGCTACACAAGTTACAGTGGTAATGAATTATTTACATATCGGTTACAAAAACATTACAATGTAGCTTTTATGCTAATGAGTTATTTATAATACCCGATATTTTAGCAAGATATGGTTGAATTTAGACAAGTTTAAGTGATTATCAGTTATTCGAAAAAGGCAAGGTCAGGGTATTTTTCCTGACTGGCTGGTAATATGTCACTGTGGATAAAATACTATGACGTTTCTTGAACATTTGTGAGTGAATTATATTTGATTTCGTGATTTTGCTCACGTTCCAGAGTGTGAAAATAGTTCCTCTGACAAAATTTACATTCGGTTAGATCTACATCAAATGTTAGTATTAACTCCCAAAAGCACCTGCAAGACCCTGTCGAGGTCTTAATATGGAGGACAATAACTAGGTCTTACTTGGAGGACCATGATAAGGTCTTAGCAAGGGAACAGTATCGAGATCATACCTAGGGGACCCTGTCTAGGTCTTACCTGGAGCCGGGTCTTCATAGTGTCCTGAAGAGCAAGTTCATCGATAGTATTGTTGATGGCGTGGTGGAGGTGTGACCTCAGCTCCAGTGTGGAGGAAAGACGTTCATCTAGACCTTTGGTCACAGAGTCTTGTGCTGTGCGTGTCCGCTCCTCCGTGTACGCCTCTGTCTGGCGGCTCTTGTTCCGCAGCCTGAGCTCATGCGACAACACATGAGATATGTGATTACGAATTAAAACAAATATTTAGGGTGGAGACATGATTGGTAAGGGCAGAATCTTCTCCAGGAATGAGTCACGGGGATGTCAGAATGCATTTTTTTAAACAAAACAGAGGTAAGAAAGTGGAGTGAACTAATCAGTGACGCTGGAAGTGAACTCCATACTGGAAGCTTAAAAATGTATGACAGGGCTTTTTTTCACGTCAGTCGTTCGAAAGATGAGAGGCAGGAAACAGAGCTAGAGCTTACGCCTCTCTCTCTCTCTCTCTCTCCTCTCTCTCTCTCTCTCACTCTCACACACACTACTACTACTACACACGCAATACATATTGACATTACTTCCGTTTGATTCCTATCTATAATAAATCATAGTGATAGTGTTCCTGCTACCTGAGCCCCTCATTGCACTTGTTTTCTACGTAAAACTTCAGCACAGTGTTCCCTGCTACCTGACTTCTCATTAGACCTCCCTGATACTTGAAGCTACGATTCTCCTTACGCTTTAAACCCACGAGCAAGGTTTAAGCCTAAATTCTTGCTTACGACAAGATTGATCTGTCAGAAATGCTGGAAGAATGTCAGCCAGGTGCTGACAACATGACTGATCTATCAGAGTGATCAAAGAAGATAGCAGAATACAGAGGACATGCCCAACCTGTCAGAGTACTCGAGAAGGGTGTTAGCATAGTGATGACGATCCAGATGATGGTTGATCCAGCGTAGTGGAGTAAACTCCCCCGTTCGTGATTCCTCCACTGCTTGTAGTGGGGACACCGTCCTCACTAACCTCTCCCTCCATCCAGTCACATCCACTCCCCTGAGGAACACACGTTAATACTATCTGGTTAAATGCTTATAATATCATGGTTCTACTGAGTCTCTCAGGCTAACATGTTTCATTACTTAATAAAACCAATCCTGTGTGAAGGAAATCCATCGTATGTTAAGGGGTATGAGAGGAAATTTAATGGCGCAGTGCTGACAATTCGAAAAGACAGACAATTTGTTGAGAGGATTTTTATTGAGACGTTTCACATATGAAAGACTTCTGAAGGTTTGTCTCTTCAAGAGGGAAAACTTTTCAATAAAGTTTCTCTCTGCAAATTACGTCTTTCCTTCAGAGCTCACTACATGTCGACTGTTGCCACAATATCAGGTAAGCTTACATGTAAGGGTGGTTGCCAGGCTTGACGTCGTCAGGTTTAGTGTGAGGGACGAGGCTTGTGAAGGTGATAGCTTGCCTGGGAGCTGCCACCTCCTGTGAAGGACCACAGGAGTCCTGCACCTTGCCTCCCTCCTCCTCAACTGTCATCACTGCCGTGGCTGTGCCCTCCATCACTATCAAACAACACTCTGTCACAATGACTAGTTCACTGTAATAATCATTTGATTACATAAATTGTATAACAAACTTAATACTACTAATACTGTGAATATGATAATGGCATGCAATACCCACAAGTTGATAAGTAAGACACATGTCCAACAGTTAGGTATCTTCATTCCGAAACGTTTCGCCTACGCAGTAGGCGCGCATAACGGAGATAAAACACCTCAATTACTGGGAGCGCTTGAGGTTCCTAAACCTGTATTCCCTGGAACGCAGGCGAGAGAGATACATGATTATATACACCTGGAAAATCCTAGAGGGACTAGTACCGAACTTGCACACGAAAATCACTCACTACGAAAGCAAAAGACTTGGCAGACGATGCAACATCCCCCCAATGAAAAGCAGGGGTGTCACTAGCACGTTAGGAGACCATACAATAAGTATCAGGGGCCCGAAACTGTTCAACTGCCTCCCAGCATACATAAGGGGGATTACCAACAGACCCCTGGCAGTCTTCAAGCTGGCACTGGACAAGCACCTAAAGTCGGTTCCTGACCAGTCTGGCTGTGGCTCGTACGTTGGTTTGCGTGCAGTCAGCAGTAACAGCCTGGTTGATCAGGCTCTGATCCACCAGGAGGCCTGGTCACAGACCGGGCCGCGGGGGCGTTGACCCCCGGAACTCTCTCCAGGTAAACTCCAGGTATAGAGAAAGCAGCAGAAGTAGAGATGTAAAGACGATGTAATCAGTCCTTCACACTCGAAGACTCAGTTTTGAGGTGGTCAGTCCCTCAGAGCAAATTAGTTCGGTTGTATAAGATGAGGGAAGATAGCGCCGTGAGTCACAGACAGCAGTTAAAGACGTAGATGAACCACAGAGACGTCAGCAAATATTTTTCAGTCTCAAGATAGTGAATAAAAAGAACCAGACCATGAGGTCGAGGAATTACATCATACCCAGTTTTGAAGGCAGGTATGAGTGAGCCCTATAGAACAGGAATTAGCAAAGTCGGTCGATAGGAATTCAAAGAAGCGACCGGGAACTATAAATCAACTCCTGTATACACAACTAGCCACTGTGATCTTGATAAAGCTATACCACCATTAGTACAGTTTTTTTGTGATGCGATACTTTAATATTCAGAACATTTACCCTTCAAGGGAGGTTCCTTGATGCTGGTGAGGGGCTCTTGATCTAGGGAATTGGATCTGTGCTCCGGTTCCCCGAATTAAGCCTGAATACCTTCCATTTCCTCCCCCCACATATGCGCTGAATAATCCTACGGGTTTAGCGCTACCCCATGATTATAATAATAATAATAATAATCAGAACATTGAGTCTTACACTCTGACGAACAGATACAACTATTATGCAGATGTTTAGTGTTACCAGAACAATACTGAGAAACAGATGTTTAGTGTCACCAGAACAAAACTGAGAAACAGCAGATGTTTAGTGTTACCAGAACAAAACAGAGTGACAGCAGATATTTAGTGTTACCAGAACAATACTGAGAAACAGCAGATGTTTAGTGTTACCAGAACAAAACTGAGTGACAGCAGATGTTTAGTGTTACCAGAACAAAACAGAGTGACAGCAGATATTTAGTGTCACCAGAACAAAACTGAGAAACAGCAGATGTTTAGTGTTACCAGAACAATACTGAGAAACAGCAGATGTTTAGTGTTACCAGAACAATAAACCTTGACAGTAGCACACGAGGAGGCTGGAGTTGTTAGACTGAGCACCAGACAGACGCTACCACCGTTGTCATGGTTACCACCATGCTTCATCAATAGCGTAATATACTAGCACAATACATAGTGGTGTATTTTAAGGTGTAAAAATACACCATATTACTATTACTGCCTTTATTATTGTTAGTTATCATTAGCCATCATCACAGGACTACATTTTAAAGGTTATTTGATTTTTTCCTTTTTCTTTCTCCTACTTTTCGATTTATTTCACTAATAACTAGAGAATACCTCATTCAATGGCCTTAAAATTTTCAACATTTTTGTACTGTAACTGGGAATAAATTGTTGGAACAACTGACATGTTCACGTTTCCCACGACCAAAGTTGTTGTACCCATTTATATCCTCCTGGAATGGCTCGAATAACTTCCAAAATCCTCAGCGGTAGAGCTCAAACGTTCTAAAAAGTTGCCAGGAAATTCGACGACGACGAAGAGTGAAATTCAAACATTCAGCTATAGATATGACTTTTATTTTAAATTACGTTAAATAACTTGTAGTTTACCTCTTCAAGGACTTCCGCATTTAATGGCTGAAGGTCTACGGTGGTCCGTGGCCACCAGGCCACGGACTCGCACGGTGAGGTCCGGGTTCGATTCCCGGCGAAGGGTGGAAACATTGGGCGTGTTTCCTTAAACCAGTTGTGTATGTTCACCCGTCAGTAAAAATGGGTAACTGGGTGTTAGTCGACTGGTGTGGGTTGCATCCTGGGACAAAACTGACCTAATTTGCCCGAAATGCTCTACATAACAAGTGGCTTTCTATATAGTAGAATGTCATTGATGTCAGTTAGGCCTGTATACCTTGTACATGTACTTGTAGAAATAAAGATATTATTATTATTATTATTATTATTATTATTATATGTATATTATGTTAGGTAGTAGGTTGGTAGACAGCAACCACCCAGGGAGGTACTACCGTCCTGCCAAGTGAGTAAAACGGAAACCTGTAATTGTTTTACATGATGGTAGGATTGCTGGTGTCTTGTCTGTCTCAAATATGCAAGGTTTCAGGTACGTCTTGCTACTTCTACTTAGGTCACACTACACATACATGTACAAGCATATATATACATACCCCTCTGGGTTTTCTTCTATTTTCTTTCTAGTTCTTATTCTTGTTTATTTCCTCTTATCTCCATGGGGAAGTGGAACAGAATTCTTCCTCCGTAAGCCATGCGTGTTGTAAGAGGCGACTAAAATGCCGGGAGCAAGGGGCTAGTAATCTCTTCTCCTGTATATATTACTAAATGTAAAAGGAGAAACTTGCGTTTTTCCTTTTGGGCCACCCCGCCTCGGTGGGACACGGCCGGTGTGTTGAAAGAATGTATATTACGGCCAGGACAGGACCTATTAAGTCTGGTTTGCGTGCAGGATCACATATTAGTAAAACAGTAAAAAAAAAAAGTTGAAAGTCGTTGGAATGTCTGCCATAACTGGAGAATGACTCCTCTGATCGGCTTCAATTTTTTAATACTGGTGGTTTTATGAATAGTCTCATTATTATAATAATGATGGGGAGCGCTAAACCCGTAGGATTATACAGCGCCTGTGGTGGGCATGGAAGGTATTCAGGCTTAATTCAGGGAACTGGAGCACAGATCCAATTCCCTAGATCAAGAGCCCCTCACTAGCGTCAAGGAGCCTCCCTTGAGGGGTAGGGGAAGTTAGTGATAAAGGGATAAATGTAATCAACGTTGATGTAATACAACAGTCGCTGTAAGCGACTTATTGTGCTGCCGTATTTTAGGATATTACTTTTATTTTTGACCTCTGAAAAGTTCGAATTAGATTTAGGTTTGGTAATATCCCAGTTTAAAAAAAAATATATATATTAGGACAGCTTCCTTATGATGATTTGTTAAGTTTTTGCTTCCCTTTAAATCTGGAATGAATGTATTTAATTGCATTTTCAAGCTATGCCGCACTCTGCAGTTTCAGTCACGTGCACTGAGCACCTGGGTTATGAAATAGAGACGCCTTTATTTGATCGCACAACGACCGAATTACATGGAGGTTTATTACTGAAATATAAGAAGCGTAGAAGTCTTAAAGCGACTGGGGAAATAAAATGTATTTAGGATAAATAAACAGGCCCAATTCCTTGAATCAAGATCCTCTCACCGGCATCAAGGACCCGTCCATGAGGTGTATGATAGGATAAGGTTCGGTTTTTATTCTAAGTTCAATACCTGAAGGGTGTTCCAGAAGTCTCCGAGGCCGGTCCATGACCATGCCTCGCGGAGTTCATGACGAGTGTTCACGAAGTGCAAAGGAATTAATATGTTGGAGTGGTTGTGGAAGGAGCAGGGGGTCGGGGAAAGGAGTTCTTTAAGACTTAAGCTACGAAACTGTCCGGGTGCAACGGTAACGACCCCATGTCCGGGTGTAACGGTAACTACCCCATGTCCGGGTGCAACGGTAACGACCCCATGTCCGGGTGCAACGGTAACGACCCCATGTCCGGGTGTAACGGTAACGACCCCATGCAGCATTCCAAAGTTCCGCAAACAGTATGAAACAAAAGTTTCCTCCTCCCGATGTTTACCAGAGCTCGGCGGGGTACCCGCCGCCACACAGATTTACAAACTAAGAGCGGTTATCCCACCTCAGCTTATTTCAAAGCCCAGTCGAACAACTGATACTGAGCAGAATGCATTGCCAACCAAACCATGGGATGTGGCTGCAAAAAGTAAAAGGGGAAGAAGTATTAAAATATCTAGGAAATTTGAAGCACTCTGGTTCTATCTGTGGATCAAGAGTCTTTCAGAGCATCACGGAACTTTCCTCATAGGATTATTACACATATTCATAGGGGGAGCGCTAAACCCGCAAGGGTCATCAAGCCCCTGGAGATATTGAAAGTATTCGGGTTCGGCCCAAGGATAGGATAAAACAGATGCAATTACTGAGAGCAAGAGTCCCTCACCACCAAGGAACTTCCCTTGATGGCTTTCCTCAAAGACCTATACCAGAATGCGGAGATTTAAACTTGCAGGAACACTGGTGGTTACAGATTTCGTGAAATAATGTAATTAAATTAAGCACTAAACCCAACATGAGGGGGGGGGGCAGCTTTCATGAAAATGGGAGAAAAAAAAAATCAGTTATGCAGTGAAATAGAAGACAAGCAGATTCGATCCAAAGTATTATTTTTGGGATCTAAAGGGCCTTAGACATAACCTTTCGAAAGAAGTGCGTTAGTGATTATGATAAACACTATTTCAAGTGTTCATCACTGGCAAGGATTGTTCTGGATGCATTCGTGAAGTTCTTATTTACTGGCAAGTAGAACAATTCATGTTCATTAAACTATGATTATACTTCAGAGTACAGGCTATGCTTAAGCATACAAGTTATACCACATTTCCTCTCATTTGAATAAACTGTATTAATACAATCCGTGCGTCTTGGTAGTAAATAAGTACAAATAATTTATCTGTTACTGTTTATTGGGCATCCAATAAGAGTCGGAAAATCATTTTTTTTTTTTAGTAGAGACAAGAGATATGGACGGACGCCTCCAGTGTGGGAACTCCATCTCCACCTGACTAGATAAATCAGACTAGAAACTCACTCAAGGTTACGTGTCAACCAAACTACTCTTCAGTGATTACTAGAACTTGACTAGTAAAGATACTGACCTATTAATTTCACTAATTTTATGGAAAGAATTAGGTGCCATATTTAAATTACTTAAGTCATTCATTCGCTTAAGTATCTAATGTTTGAGTTCCATGCAGTACTTATTGAGCATTAATTAGTTCAGGGTAGAGACAGCGACAAACATTCAGAGTCTTCAAGTCTAGAGCAAGACCTTCATTAACTCATCTTTGAAAGCCATTTTATTTTTTTTTTTTGGTAGTCTTCCTTTACCATCATTTTAGTACTCTTCGCCGCCTTCTTCATCTTCTGCTTCAGTAGAGTCTACGCCCACCTCCTCGTAGTCTTTCTCTAGAGCGGCTAGATCCTCCCGAGCCTCTGAGAACTCTCCCTCCTCCATGCCCTCACCAACGTACCAGTGGACGAAGGCTCGCTTAGCATACATCAGGTCAAACTTATGATCGAGACGAGCCCATGCCTCAGCGATGGCTGTAGTGTTTGACAGCATACACACAGCGCGAGATACCTTAGCCAGGTCAGCGCCAGGAACCACTGTAGGTGGTTGGTAGTTTATGCCAACCTGAAATAATCACATTTATATACTATCACAAGACATTAATGCACAGCTAGTAAGCAGAATTAGTCGAAGTAAACATTTAAAATATATATTAAGAGTAGATAGTTTAGAGCGATACCCACTAAGGCTATAGTTTGCAGCATCAGAGAATTTCGGCTTTACTATCCTCGCATTAATGCTGGCAAACCTACACCCTATTCTCATACGGAGAGTAAACCCGTGTGGGCCAGTCATCACTCAGTCTGGTAAATGAAAACATTCCACCCCGTACATTTACTTCCGTTGACTATTTCAGAGGTATTTAAATTCACTAATACTAACAGGATGTCCTCTAAGTCTTCAAAAGTTTTATATATAACAGGCCAAAAAAAAAAAAAAAATAAATAAAAATGAAGCTTTTACATAGGTATTACTACACCTTCAACCTTCCTCACTTTACGTCCAGACACAAACATCACTACATCTGGAGTTTCATTCCTTTACCTTAAAGCCAGTGGGGCACCAGTCTACAAACTGGATTGTCCTCTTTGTCTTTATGGAGGCGATGGCAGCGTTGACGTCCTTAGGAACAACATCACCGCGGTATAACATACAACATGCCATGTATTTGCCGTGGCGGGGGTCACACTTAACCATCTGCTCAAACAACATACGTCACAAGGTTGTTTGACTACGTGCCATATTAAAATATTAGAAGCAATTTATATAAAAGACTTGGGTGTTAAAAAGATACTGTATTTACTAACTCCTGAGTTGAAATGTTAAACTATAAAGTTCTTGTGTCCAAGCTCACACCAGAAAGAAGGTAGCTACTTACCTGGTTGGCGGGCTCAAAGCAAGCGTTGGTGATCTCTGCCACCGAGAGCTGCTCATGGTAAGCCTTCTCAGCAGAGATAACCGGGGCGTAGGTAGCTAGAGGGAAGTGAATACGTGGATAGGGTACCAGGTTAGTCTGGAATTCTGTCAGATCAACGTTGAGAGCACCATCAAACCTGAAGGCACATCACAAGAGTTTACCTATTATATCTCTGGATGCCTTATTAGGTCAGGATAAGGTGTTTATTTTTGCGAGTAACTTGGGTACCTATCTAAGTATGGGCAACAGATGCAAGAAAACTCCACTAGTCCCGTCCGGAACTAACCTAGATCCTTAAAATTGAAAGGTAGCCCTCTAATTACCTTCATGACAGTGTATTAAGGAATTTATATGCGAATGCTAGAAAAAAAAAACTAGCTTTCAAAATGAATCTCATTCTTGTCCTATAGCACCTACCTGAGAGAGGCGGTGATGGAGGAAACAATTTGACCAATCAGCCTGTTCAGGTTAGTGTAAGTGGGGCGTTCGATGTCGAGATTCCTGCGGCAGATGTCGTAGATTGCTTCATTGTCTACCATAAAGGCACAATCAGAGTGCTCGAGTGTTGTGTGGGTCGTTAGGATTGAGTTGTAAGGCTCCACTACAGCTGTTGACACCTGAGCAAGACTACCAGAATTAGCCAAGGTACATAGTTATGCAGAGACAAAATTTTAAGGATTCCTAAATGGAAAATTTTCACACCTTGCGTCATTATGTACCGGAATGCGATGAAAATAAAGAATTCAGAGACAACTCCCTCAGAAATGTTAAAAAAAAAAGTCGAAGTATTTTATTCAGAGTTGTATATTGTAAACCAATCTGTAAAAAATACCCTGACTTTGGACACTAAATAAAGCGTTACCACTCTTGAGTGTGTGACCTAATTCATGTCTGCATAAATCTCATTACGAGTGTGACCAGATATAAACAAATAGTTCAATGCCACTAACTTGGTCAGCTGTCAAAACTTTGCGGCCCAGTTCCTAGATCCATTATGTGCCTCTAATATTTTGACTGCCGCCCACAGGATGGATGTGGGGTACATAAAAATAACTATTCTCTAAGAGCTCACACCAAGTCTTTGTAAGAAAGCCATTACTTGATAGAGGATATTGATTTTATAACATTTGCACACTACGAGAGTACCTAAATATGAAGAATCAATGATGACTCACCTGCGGGGCGGGGTAAATTGAGAATTCTAGTTTACTTTTCTTGCCGTAGTCGACAGAGAGTCTTTCCATGAGAAGGGAAGTGAAACCAGAACCAGTGCCGCCGCCGAAGGAGTGGAAGATAAGGAAGCCCTGAAGCCCCGTACACTGGTCTGCCAGTTTTCTGATGCGGTCCAGCACCAGGTCGACGATCTCTTTACCAATTGTGTAGTGTCCACGAGCGTAGTTGTTGGCTGCGTCCTCCTTGCCTGTGATGAGTTGCTCTGGGTGGAACAGCTGCCGGTATGTCCCTGTCCGCACTTCATCTGTCACACAAAGAGGATTCTTAATAATGAGTCTCAGACAAAGACAAACCGATGGAAAAAATTAGGTCTGTACCTTAACAGCACAAAAAAATATCTAAATTAGCTGGCATCCTTTAAGATAAGTTACTATGTACCTCAGTCAGCCCTACGTACACTACTATTCTAATATATCGTTACCTCGCCTACGATATTTGTAGCCTTGGGATCTACTACAGCAAATCACCTAAAGCCAAAAGTATCAGAGTAGCTGTGAGAAAGATTACGCCAGTCTAGTGCCAGACAATATACTTCTCCACTCCAAAGTTAATGTATATAATATTCATACTGCTGTGTATATTATATACATAGGACATTTCTAATATAAACCCTACTCTGAAAAATTTTGATAGCTTCAACAGAACTATCTAGTGTCGGGCTCAACCTGTGTGCACAAAAGGTATTAAAATCTGAAGCTTACAAAAGATTCCAAAGGTTTCCCTTGTTAAAGAGCACCCTACCCTAAGGTGATGCTGATAGCAACACAAGACATCAAACGTCCTGAAACCTGTTTTCATACTTCAGACCCTGTTCTTGGTAAAGTTACCCAAATCCTATATATATTACCTCATATTTTGCAATAATTCAAGTAACTGCCTGAAAATGCAGAGTCCCTTGTTTACCAAGTTCTTTATTAATATTGTTAAATAAGTATCAATTAAATCTCTTATGTAAATTTCCATTAACTAAGTTGCCATGCTTTTTTTTTCACCACTATTCAATCATTCCATAAAATTTAAAATTCACCAAACCAATTTAAAAAATTTATTCGTTTGTAATTGACCATTTATCATTTGCAAATTTTATTTTACTTATGATTGTAGTTAACTGCAAAAGAAGTTTTACATAATATGAAAGAGTTAACCAAGTAGAATGTCAGGCTTAAGATTAGTTTTGACAGAAATGCGTTGAATAATTAGTGACTGTGCCTAATTTTGCAATAATTTACGTATATCTATTGCATTCCTTTCACTGCTCAAAATTACTATTATTATAGCAGGTTGGAGGAGAAGGTAATGCCAAGTTACTGGAGAAGATTTATAGTTATAATAATGGGGGAGCGCTAAACCCGTAGGATTATACAGCGCATGTGGGGGTGGAAGGTATTCAGGCTCAATTCAGGAAACTGGAGCATAGAAATTCCCTAGATAAAGAGCCCCTCACCAGCGTCAAGGAACGTCCCTTGAGGGGTATTAGAGAAGAGCCCATTTACCTTTAATTTCTTCGGGAGATGTTTTGCTCTGCAGCACCTTTTATCACCCAGCAGTTCCTTTTTTTTTCAGGCACATGATCAATAACAATTTTAAAGAAAATTACTGTTGTACGGTAAAGTAGCGTTGTGGATTACGTGCTTGCACGTACGCTGATTACTTTGTGGCTAGCAAGTGGGTGGGAAGTGAGGGACACTCCAGATGTCGGTAAGAAACTAAAATCTGATTTCTTTTCCTTATTATGGAACTACATTAATTTAGTGCATTTAAAAGAATTATTCCTCATTTTAGAAGTTATTCTTTTGTCCAGGTATAATGCCTGCCTTTAAACTTCTGAAATAGGTAGAGACTCACCGACGACAGTGGGTTCAAGATCCACGAAGACAGCTCTGGGAACATGCTTGCCGGCGCCCGTCTCGCTGAAGAAGGTATTGAAAGAGTCATCACCACCGCCGATGGTCTTGTCCGAGGGCATAGAACCATCGGGCTGGATGCCATGCTCGAGACAGTAGAGCTCCCAGCAGGCATTGCCGATTTGCACGCCCGCTTGCCCGATGTGCACGCTGATACACTCACGCTGTGGGAGAGCGAGGCAGTTGCAGAAGGCGAGGTGAAACAGAAGTACAAGAACCACTGAGTGACCAAGAATGCCATAGAAAAGACTACGTATCTTTATGCTTTTATATTGTAGTTGATCGGAAATGACCGCACCGCTTGGTCGTGACTAGAGAAGGTCAGTGATAAATGAAAGAGCTTTTAATAATAGACATGGTGGTAAATAGCAACCCGGAGAACCAATTACAGGAAAATATCCTGCCAATAAACACACCATGTTCATCCTCCCCAATCCCGGCTTCCCCCACCACAAAAAAAAAAAAAATAAATAAATTACGGTTTATCGCTCCAGTAGGAAACCTATAGCGGTGACCTCACTCAATGGAGACTTCGAAGTGACAGGAATGGAGAGCGAGGGAGCGGGAGGGGGTGTCTAGGAACCCCGAAGACAAGGGTACATGGAAGCGGGGCGGGAAAAAAAAAAAAGCGGTAATGTCATAAATGACACGCAGAACCGAGATCCGGTACAGTTCAAGCCGAATACATACAGACTAAAATATTTATGTCACTAATAGCTAAACCTATGGGAAGCGTCATTGAGAACACAGAGGCTGTGTAAGGTTGTCTAGCATGCTTTATGCCACTGCAGAAGCAATGGGGAAGGGGGGGGAGCAGAACAGTGTTAGGTTCACTCGCAGGATTCAGTGCAAGTCTCTCTGAAGAATATAACTCAGAAGCTTCTACTGGTAATCAGGTCTTCCGTAACATTAGATACGAGAAAAGGTCAAGAGAGGCCTGAGCTTGCTACCATCTGCAGCTCATAAGACTGCCATCCCCACGAGCCCATTTGAGGCGGGGTAGATGGCAGACCAGAGGCCTAGCTTCTCCCTACGAGCCCCGTGAGGGCGGGGAATGTGGCTAGGCCTGGGGACACTTGGTCCCAAAAGATGAGGTACTGTACCTCCTCCCATGGGAGACTTAAGTCTCGAGACACTCCCCAGATAGGGAGCCAAGGCCGGGTCACCACTACTTGGAAAAGACCCGGGCCGGGAGAATACCGGCGAATAAAAAAAAAAAAAAAAAAAATTAGATACGAAGAAAAAAAATAACATTAGGAAAACCTGAAGATTGGCGACTACACCGGTAGCAACAATACCAGAGTGGAATTTACCAAACTACTTGCAAATTAATAAGGTCAGATTTAGTGATGGTAAGACTGAGAAGGATTAATCTCAGTGAGTAAGGGGAAGGCGTGTGGGGGTGACCCAGGAGGGGTTGACTGTAGGGAAGGAGAGAAGGGAGTGGGAGGGGGGGGGGTTAAGGAGACAGTGGATCAATAAGAAACTAGAGACCTTCCTCACCATAGCAACACCTATTTTACTTACTTCCCACCTAACTTGTACGTATGGAAGCCTAGCCAATTGGGGACAGAAGTCCTCACTAATATAGTTAAAGAGGTTAATTCCTTGGATAGAGTAATTAGCCTTTTTAACTTCATATGACAGTTCCGTCCTTACACTTCCTACCTCACCATCAAATCAATCCTTGCACTCGTGCACTACGTCAGGTCCAATAGATTTTTACACTTTGGTATAGTTAAATTTTGTCTCCCTCCTAGTATGTGAAAAATGGAAGAGCATGAAGGAAAAAAAACTAAAGCAATTTGTCAGAAAACACCGAGGGAATGTATGCAACGAATCTTCTAGTACAAGACACGAAGTTATCCTAGAGCTTAAGTTAAGTAACGAAAAAGTGGTACAAGTTTAACCATGTACACGGGTGAAAGGAAGCGGTGGGAAGGCGTGTTAGACCTCAAATGAAGTTATACAGTGCCTTTCAGAGTAAAGTTTATTCAGTTAAGTGTACAAACAAAGAAGCTTGCAAGCAGTGTCAAGGCACTCCAGTGCATCCTAAACTACGTGGAATGATTATATATCTTTTTCATCTGGGGTAAAACGCTAAACCCATAGGAGTCCTATAGCGGCTGGGGAGGTATTCAGATGCTATTCAAAGGGGAGGATAAGTTCAGTTACTTGGATCAAGAGCCCCTCACCATAAGAGTTAATAAAATAATCAAGGCCGAAATATTTTATAGTAACCCCTACCCAGAAGGTTTTTAAATCTTGTATGACTAAACATACAACAGTCATCGTTCCTCCCATCTTCCCTCTCTAGGTCAGACAGGGACGAACTGGAAATTAAAATACCTTCCAAGACTTTTATTTTTAAGAGCCCTTAGAGTGCCCTTGACGCTCTACAAGGCACAGTATGAGCGATACCCGTTTCATTATGCTAGACCTGTCTTGCATGGAATTTTTTCCAGAAATGGTAGTAGGGGGGAAAGGATAGTTCCTTGTAGCTGGTACAGTAATTCAAGGTGGTTTTAAGGAACTTCTTGTTCATCAGGACTGGGTTTCAAAGTTTATGTTGCTCATTCTAAAGTTCCAGCACATTCTGGATAAGCTACCATCACATCCTCATCCCCCCGAAATCTCTCAGTCCCCACTATGAACAACCACAAACCTCCTTCCCCTCACAATGGAAGGGGAGGGGACAGGAACGTTGAATTTGTAGGGTGGGGGCTTTACAGGGTTGAAAAATGGGAGGTATTCACGTTACATCTGAAAGAGAACATATATTCCATAAATATAAAAGAAACTGTTAGGTATGGATAATGTTGCCTTGAATACTCAGGTTTAGTTAAGGTTAGCAAATATGCAGGCACAAATCTGAATATTAAAGTTATTTTATAATAAACATTAATCTAAGGTTCAAATTAACAAAGAAAGCAGCCTCTGGATTCCCCGTCCCTGGAGCGCTACTGATCCAGTAACCTAGCAAAGTTATTTTAATCACGGAGAAGTGCTAAATCCATAGGGGTCATACACAGCGTGAAGGTGCTCAGATTTAATAGAGGATAAGTTAAGTGCCTTGAACTTGGGACCATTCTGGGAAGTCCATAGTAGATTAACGTTTAGGTTTCCATTCATTATTAGATGAACAAAGAGGCTGAGTCGCTTAAATGTTTCGCCGTGCCCGGGATTGAACCACGGTCCATCCGGTTGTTGGTACACAGATTACAGCAAGCTAAGATGCATATACCAAGTTACACATATACAATGCACTGTACCATGAAAATTATAACTTCAAATGGCAGGAGAGAGTAAAAATGTAATAATAAAGAGACTTACCATAGTGTTAAGGTGAGCCTCACAAAGTGTATTAAGGGAACCCGAGTGAGATTGCTGACATAGTTCCCTCAACACACACTATATATACACCAGGCTGAAGGGCGGGGCTAACAGTATTCCACGAATCACAAGAAGCTGCAGACACATCCACCAATCATAACTTTTCTTCTTACCGCAATAACCAATCACATTACGTTATCTGGATGCGTGTAGCCAATGGTATTACTCGATCCGCTTGCGTGTAGAAAATCACGCTATGCAGCGATGATCTCATCGTATTGACCAGGTCTATGTTATTCTACACTGCCGTTAATGTCATACTAGTAGACCATGCCAGTGTTGTTAAATACACCACACCAATATTAATTATTGTAATTAACTTTTTTATATCTCGTATGGAGTCATGAGATAATATATGTAGAGGTGATTTTTGGTTAATGTTCCTGTTAGCTCGTGAATGTTCACAGTTTGTTGATAAGTGCTTTGTTTGCTTACACAGGCAAAGATAATTGCATGTTATGTGAACGTACGTGTATGTGCACGTGTGTATGCGTGTGTGTGCATATGATGCACGTGCGTGCGTTCGCGTGAGTAAGTGCGTACGTGTACATGTACGTGTACTCACCTAAATGTCGTTGCAGGCAGGGGGGTCGAGTCTCGGCTCCTGACTGTTTATATGTATGTCTGTGTACGTACATGTGTATGTGTTATGGCGTCCTGGTGGTCAGTGGGTTGCCATGGTGACCGCCATTACCTTCCCCTCCCTTCCCATCCCATCAACCACAACAATATTTGTGTGAAAACCCCTCACCCCCACCATCCAATCCCCTCCCTCCCTTCCTCATTCCTCCCCACTGCGTCACTCAGGTTTCCGCTTGTTTCACATCAATAATTGCTTTGACCGTTTCCTCATTATCTTCTTTTATCTCCCAAAACGATTTTTATTACGAACTTATGTAAGTTCGTCTAGCACAGAATTCAGGTGGAATGTACAACAAGTCTAGAAATAGTTTAGTCCTGGTATTTACCCTCTAAAATATTTGGAAAGAGTATTGATTTTCCAGTGATTATACTGCAGCTATCTTTATATCACTATTATACTGCAGTTATCTTTATATCACTATTATACTGCAGTTATCTTTATATCACTATTATACTGCAGTTATCTTTATATCACTATTATACTGCAGTTATCTTTATATCACTATTATACTGCAGTTATCTTTATATCACTACAATGCAACAGTTATCTTTATGGCACTACAATACTGCAGTTATCTTTACTTAAAAACTACCACAGTTATAGTGACATCCTCACAGTACTACAGTTACCGTCACATCCTCACAGTACCACAGTTCCCGTCACATCCTCACAGTACCACAGTTCCCGTCACATCCTCACAGTACCACAGTTACCGTCACATCCTCACAGTACCACAGTTACCGTCACATCCTCACAGTACCACAGTTACCGTCACATCCTCACAGTACCACAGTTACCGTCACATCCTCACAGTACTACAGTTACCGTCACAATAGTGCTGATCAAGTAATCTCGCACTGGTCGAGGAGGGTGCTGATGACCTGTTTGTAAGTTCCTGTAGTTGAGTACGGGAAACAGTACAGTGCCTCCTGGGCAACTGTTTGCCAAGATGATCCACTCAGTGTTTAAGCCATCAATGGCTTACCAGTGTTGGATATTAATGATTAAGCCATCTCTGGCTTATTTGTCATGAGTTTTCCATTCCATTTACAATATAAAGTATGAACACTATTGTTCTGAGGACAAACAGATATTGTGTAAATAAATTTGTTGTTTACATTGAATATTTTCAAATTTATATTTCATATTTTCAAAGGAAACCCCAAATAAGATTAAATATCCATTGAATATCAATTTTATAACCAACACTTTTTTGCTTCAGCTTGATGAAATAAAGCAGTAAATTTCTAAAGATTTCCCAAGAAGTTCATAAATGCGTCTTGGACAAAAACAAAAAAGTGACAGCACATAGTAGAACACTCAGTTTACAACCAAAAGGACTCATATTCGATCCCAAGGTAGGAGGCGATGTACTTAGAATTTTGAGAATCTTTGCACTTGCTGACCTTGTTTACCTAGCAGTAAGTAGGTACTTGGATGTAGGTGGCATCCTGGTGGGTCGTAATATGCCTTATAATTTTAGATAAGGCGGAGCTTGGAGATGAGCTGATATAAAACAATAGTTCTTAGCCTGTAAATTCAACTGTGCGAAAAGAAATCTACAAGAATAATTACAGTTTTAATCAATTCAGTCATATACAGCAGTTAAGCTGTGATTCCCTGATGTGATAATTTGTAAAAGTGTTGCTGGTTCACGAGGTCATTTATGTAAATAAAGGTAGAAGAAGAAACAATTTCCTATCCGAAGGCTTTTTTTTATAGGAAAAAGGATTAGAATATTATTGGTATAGTTGCATTTTGGTTGTCGATAAAGGAGTGTTACGTACTGTACGTAGATCAGAGTAAACTCGACGTGGAATAGACGACTAGAAATAATTGAGATTAATGCTTTCTATATACTTGAAAAAATCTGAAATAATATTTTCCTTTAAATACTCGTAACGGGATCTACACAGTACCTGGCACACAATTATTGCTTTAAATGTGAGTCTGCAGTTGTACTCACCAACTGCAATAATTCTCGGGTTTCAGCTGGAAATCCGTATTGAATACTTTTTGTGTGTGGTATGTATGGCATCACGTGCCTCGCCTGACACGTTCTGGGGGGGTTGATGGTCACCTTCCATCCTATAATACTCATTGATCTTCAGATCGCAGATAAATAATTAACTTGTAAAAAAACCTGAACCAGAGGTAATCAACGTAAGTTGCTTGATAGAGAAACTTGATTTTATAGTTCAGGAGCTCTCGCTGTTGTTTGTAAACCATGGGCTCTTTCTATCCTCCGTAAACTATGGGTTCTCTATTGTTTGTAAACCAGAGGCCTAGCTTCTCCCTACGAGCCCCGTGAGGGCGGGGACTGTGGCTAGGCCTGGGGACACTTGGTCCCAAAGATGAGGGGGTACTTGTATCTCCTCCCATGGGAGACTTAGGTATCGAGATATTCCCCAAATAGGGAGCCAAGGCCGGGTCACCACTACTTGGAAAAGACTCGGGCCGGGAGAGTACCGGCGAATAAGAAAAAAAAAACATGGGCTCTTTTTTTTTTTTTTTTTATTATCACACCGGCCGATTCCCACCAAGGCAGGGTGGCCCGAAAAAGAAAAACTTTCACCATCATTCACTCCATCACTGTCTTGCCAGAAGGGTGCTTTACACTACAGTTTTTAAACTGCAACATTAACACCCCTCCTTCAGAGTGCAGGCACTGTACTTCCCATCTCCAGGACTCAAGTCCGGCCTGCCGGTTTCCCTGAATCCCTTCATAAATGTTACTTTGCTCACACTCCAACAGCACGTCAAGTATTAAAAACCATTTGTCTCCATTCACTCCTATCAAACACGCTCACGCATGCCTGCTGGAAGTCCAAGCCCCTCGCACACAAAACCTCCTTTACCCCCTCTCTCCAACCCTTCCTAGGCCGACCCCTACCCCGCCTTCCTTCCACTACAGACTGATACACTCTTGAAGTCATTCTGTTTCGCTCCATTCTCTCTACATGTCCGAACCACCTCAACAACCCTTCCTCAGCCCTCTGGACAACAGTTTTGGTAATCCCGCACCTCCTCCTAACTTCCAAACTACGAATTCTCTGCATTATATTCACACCACACATTGCCCTCAGACATGACATCTCCACTGCCTCCAGCCTTCTCCTCGCTGCAACATTCATCACCCACGCTTCACACCCATATAAGAGCGTTGGTAAAACTATACTCTCATACATTCCCCTCTTTGCCTCCAAGGACAAAGTTCTTTGTCTCCACAGACTCCTAAGTGCACCACTCACTCTTTTTCCCTCATCAATTCTATGATTCACCTCATCTTTCATAGACCCATCCGCTGACACGTCCACTCCCAAATATCTGAATACGTTCACCTCCTCCATACTCTCTCCCTCCAATCTGATATTCAATCTTTCATCACCTAATCTTTTTTGTTATCCTCATAACCTTACTCTTTCCTGTATTCACCTTTAATTTTCTTCTTTTGCACACCCTACCAAATTCATCCACCAATCTCTGCAACTTCTCTTCAGAATCTATGGGCTCTTTTTATCCTCCGTAAACTATGGGTTCTCTATTGTTTGTAAACCACGGGCTCTTTTTATCCACCGTAAACTTCGCTATATTCTTTGCAAAACATGGGTTCTCTCTATTATTTATTTATTTCTCACTTTGCTTATACAAATGGTTGAATGACTTCTTAGTATATCCAGGTGACGTGTGACACCAGGTGACGTGTGACATCAGGTATGTGTGACACCAGGTGACTGTGACACCAGGTGACGTGTGACACCAGGTGGCGTGTGACACCAGGTGACACCTGCTTCCATGTTATTTAACAAATAAATATAAATTATGTTTGTGGTAATTTTGCAGCATGTGCGTGGTAATGGAGCCAGGCTGACACATAAGGCTCACACCACCTGCTTCCACTGCAGGAGTTACCACCTTACAAACATTAGGTAGACAGCCCGGAATATAAGGGTCATTTCACCTGCCATAAATGCAGGACTCACAACCGTACAAACGCACCTCAACACCTCTGTAAGAGGATCAAGTGACGTCACACAGCCACATCAGTAACCCAGGAGCAACTAAACCTGTTCTTCCTCCCTGATGTCAACACCGGAACACCTCCAGCATGTCTCAGGTTATCCTGTTATCCTGGCTACCCTCTGTTTATGTTATCCTGGCTACCCTCTGTTTATGTTATCCTGGCTACCCTCTGTTTATATTATCCTGGCTACCCTCTGTTTATGTTATCCTGGCTACCCTCTGTTTATATTATCCTGGCTACCCTCTGTTTATGTTATCCTGGCTACCCTCTGTTTATGTTATCCTGGCTACCCTCTGTTTATGTTATCCTACTAGGACACAGCTTCTGGTGCCAGGACATAACTCCTGGTTCTAGGACACAGCTCCTGATGCTAGGACAGAACTTCTGGTTCTAGGACGCAGCTCCTGATACTAGGACAGAGCTTCTG